GGAGGTAATTGGCAGGAGGCGGTCTCTCAAGTACCCAGGTCCAATAACATGTAGCGCTTTATAAGTAATAACTAGCACCTTGTAGTATAGTGTAGAATAGAATAACAGAGTTGGAAGGTACCTTGGAGGTCTTCTAGTCCAACCCCCTGCTTAGGCAGGAAGCCCTATACCACTTCAGGCAAATGGTTATCCATTCTTAAAAACTTCCAGTATTGGAGTATTCACAACTTCTGGAGGCAAGCTGTCCCACTGATTAATTGTCCTCACCGTCTGGAAATTTCTGCTTAGTTCTAGGTTGGAAATCTATGGAGATTCTCAGTCATCCTGGTCATGGTTATTCCAAAGGTGTTTTTTCAGGAGGCAACTGAACTGCAACTGTTCTAGGTTGCTTCTCTCCTTGATTAGTTTCTACCCATTGCTTCTTGTCCTGCCCCCAGGTGCTTTGGAAAAGAGCTTGACCCCCTCCCCTCTGTGGCAGCCCCTCAAGTGTTGGAGCACTTCTATCATGTCTCCCCTGGTCCTTCTCTTCATTAAACTAGACATACCCAGTTCCTGCAACAGTTCTTCATATGTTTTAGGTTCTAGCTTCTGGGGGAATCTCTAGAGAGAGAGGGAGAGAGAGACAGCAAAGGGACGCAGGCAGCTGTGAGGTGAAGCCAAGAGTGACACCCTGCCTCCATCACTCCAAGGGACTTTGCCAGCCATGGTTTTCCTTGAAACACCTGAGTCATTTCCATGGTTATTTACCTTCTTGTCTTCAGAAAGCCGTTGATGCAGGTGACTAGACGGGCGGAAAAGAGAGGAACTTGTTTTTCCAGCTGAAAGCAGGAAAACTCACTCAGCCCTTTTTAATACCTCACCAAAAGAGGTTTCACTGTTTTAAAAAGCCAGAATTTCGGGTTTAATGAGCGAAGAAAATACCTGTTGCATGGAGGCGAGCGGGAAGAGAGTTGGGGGAAAAATGTGGCTTTTGTTGAGGCACAGCTTCGGGCCATCTTGGATGCAAAGTTTCACCTCTGGAAGGCCCAGATGTCTCATCCCTCGCTTTTGCCTGTCTTTTCTTTTTTAGGATCATTAAAAATGTGGTTCGCACCTTCAAGTACTTCTACGGCCTGAGGTTTGAAGTGAAGGGTCTGGAGCACTTCGAGGTCGAAGGTCCCTGTGTCATCATCTCAAACCACCAGAGTATCCTGGACATGATTGGTAGGAGTCTGGGGGCTCAGTGGGAGGGCTGCTCCCAGGGTGGATTTGATTAAACCAAGGCTTGATTTAAATCAGCTCAATTAAAATCATAGTTTGTAAATAGATGATAGATAAATAGATATAGTTGATAGATAGGGGGAGAGAGAGAGAGATAGAGATAGATACGGTTGATAAAGAGATAGATATAGATAGGCAGACAGACAGAAAGAAAAATATAGATGATACAGATAGAGAGTTAATAGAGATAGAGATACTGGAGAGAGACAGACAGACAGATAGATATGAGAGAGAGAGAGAGAGAGAGAGAGAGAGAGAGAGAGAGATGATGATGATGATGATGATGATGATGATAGAGTTAGAGATACTGTAGATATAGATAGACGTATGTATATATGCATATATGTATGTATGTATGTAGAGAGAGAGACAGAGAGGTAGGTAGGTAGACAGACAGACAGACAGACAGACAGATAGAATTAGATATACAATAGATAGAATGATAGACAGAACGATAGAAAGAATTGGAGAGAATTAGATAGAGATAGATGGTTTTAGACACACACACTCAAAAAAAATTCAAATGCACTCTGCACGTGCTCAGAGGCACTAGATAGCTAGAGTTGATAGAGTTGATAGAGTTGATAGAGATATGGATGGATGGATGGATGGATGGATGGATGGATGGCAGGAGTGAAAGAGTGTTGGGCTGCTTCATGGCCCACCCAACTGGGCTATTAGCCAGACTAGATGCATGATGTGAATGGGTGGGATTCACCTTCCTGGTTCACCAGGAGGCTTCTTGGTTGGTCCTCCCTGTTCCCCCACCACAGCCCAGCCTTTCGAGACCCTCTCCCACCCCCGAGCTGTGAAATGCAGCTGAGAAACTCTTGATTTCCCCAGGGAGCATGAAATCTTGACTCGGGTTTCAAAGCTAGAGAATAACGGTGCATCTGGGTCGTTTCCATCTTTTACTTGCCCAACAGGCCTTCCAGGCAGACTTAAGTCGGGGTGCCTCAACCCAAACAGGACATTCCTCTGGGTCTCTACTAGCAAAGACAGGGAGAGGGACTCTTGGCGCGATCCCCCCTCCAATCTCGGAGGCAGCTTTTCACGCCTCTTCCTCCTGCTTTTTGCCATTCGCAGGGTTGATGGAAATCCTTCCGGAGCGCTGCGTCCAGATTGCCAAAAAGGAGCTCTTATACTTTGGGCCAGTGGGGCTGATTATCTACCTGGGTGGGATCATCTTCATCAACCGGAAGAGCACCGGCAATGCCAAGTCCGTGATGTCTGGAGTCGGCCAGGCCATGACCAGCGAGAATGTGAGTGTGTGGGGACTGAGAGGGCAGCTACAGCCCCCCTGGCCTGGTTCCTCTGGAATGTTGTGGCCCGCAAGCGGTCAGCGGAGCTGGCAGCAGAGTCGGACAGTGAGGAGGTTGGGGAGGAATATGGGCCAGTCCTGGAGGCTGGGGAAGGCTCAGATGAGGGCTGTACATTGGAGGCAGAGATGGGGCAGAGGCCGTCTGACAGTGATCAGGTGCCTACGGAGCTAGACAGCAGTGAGGCAGAGGAACAGCTAGAGCCTGTTCCCAGTGTGCGCATGGACAGAGCTGCCAGAAGAGAACAGCTCAGAAATTAAGGTCGACTTGGGAGTAAAGTCACAGGTGGACGGTGAATGGCCCCTCCCATAGGGAATAAAAGAAGAGCAAAAGGGGAGGGGGCTTTTGCAGGAAACAATTAGTTTGTTCGATCGTTTCAGGAGGGTGAAGACCCGTCCATGAATCTCAGAGACTCTGTGTCCAGTCTTTCCTTGCACAACACCTAATTTGGAAAATATTTACATGGCAACTTTCCAAGATAGATAAGGTCTGTGGTCATAAATACGCCTTTGAAAGGCTGTTTGCCAGGCCTTGGCTGAATGTGAAAGAGAGGAATTCACATTTGTTTAATAAAAGGGTTTTTTTTCAGGACCAGGAATCTGCTTTGTGCTTTTGGGGGGGAAGATGAGGTCAGAACATGGAAGGTACATCGGCCACTCAGCTTGTATGCCGGATGAGGCAAAATCATCGTGAGAACCGAGCCTTTGTTTTGACACAGGGTTTGTGAAGCCACCATTTGGAGCTCTCGCCTCACAATCAGGAGGCTGTGAGTTCAATCCTAGGTAGAGGCAGATATTTCTCTCTCTGGGCACAAGGAGACTATATCTGCTGAACTGAAATTCCACATTGGAGACAGGAAGGGCATCTGGCCATTAAAACACTCTGCTCCATTCAGTTGCCCTGACTGCACCTCGCAAGGGATTATGGGGCCGTTAAAAGACAATGTTTGTGAAGCCACCATTGCTTAAGGATAGTCCTCAACTTACAACAGTTCATTTAGTGAACACTCAAAGTTACAACGGCACTGAAAAAAATGACATGATCATTTTTCAGGCCTACCACCATTGCCACATTCCTGTTGATTCACTTAACAAACGTGGCAAGAGAAGTCGCAAAATGGGGCAAAACTCACTTAGCAACTGTCTTACTTAGCAACAGAAATTTTGTACTCAGTTGTAAGTCAAGGGCTACTACCTGTATTTGCTGGATAATTACAAGCTCATTGGAAGGGAGACCATCAGGAAATCTCAGAATCGGGAAAATGAAACCATTCTGGAAGAAGGCAGGGCAAACAATTTCCACAATGTTGCCAAGGGTCAAGGTTTTGTGTGAAGACAACTATCTTCTATAATGAGTTGTTGAAGATGCCTTCCTTCACGATGGGGGAAGAGATATGCTAGGTGTGAAACCAGGCTTAATAGCAGTAATCGTGACCTTGCAGTCTTAGTGGACATCCAATTAAATATGAGCGAGAAGTTTGCGGCAGCAGCCAAAAAAGCCAATGCAATCCTAAATTGCATTAACAGAGGGATGCAATCAAGATCAAGTAAGGTGCTGATAGCACTCTATAAAGCCTTAGTAAGGCCACACCTAGTCCTGCATCCAGTTTTGGTCACCACACTATAAAAAAGATGTTGAGACTCTAGAAAGCGGGCAGAGAAGAGCAACCAGGATAATGAGGGGACCGGAGGCTAAAACATATGATGAATGGTTGCAGGAACTGGGCATGGATGATCTAGGGAAGAGAAGGACCAGGGGAGACAGGAGAGCATCTTCCCGTATTTGATGTTTTTTTCTGACAGTCAGAACAATCCACCCATGGAACAGAAGTTGTGGGAGCTTCATCCCTGGAAGCTTTCAAGAAGAGACTGGACTGCCCTCTGTCAGAAATGGGGTAGGGTCTCCTGCTTGGGCAGTAGGGGGGTTGGACTAGATGACCTACAGGGTATCTTCCAACTCTGTCATTCTGTTATTCCGACTTAGCATTGTGAAGGCATCTCAAAAGGATCTCTTGCTGGGGTTTTCACAAAGAACCTCAGGAATCCCTGCTTTGTCCCAATAAGGCTGCAGATTCTAAGCAGGAGAAGTAAACATATCTGAGCAGAAGCAGCCACACGTGGCACCTTGTCTAGACACGCCTGGTTGAGTGAATTGTTGCCCTCTAAAAGGGTGGCTGCATTGCCCCTCTCTGCCCAAACGTTAAGCTAAAAAAATGGACACCTGGCAAGATCCTTTGGCAAGATCCATGTGCATTTTAAGCCCCAGAAGTAACCAAATGCCATAATAACAGCTTTGTTCTTTGCAAGTGTGCATTTTTAACTGTTTACTTATTTGCACTTGTTTGTAAAACAAGTGGACCTTTTATGGCACTGTTGGGGTTTCCTATCTTACCTATTTTAATCAGCTTCATATCTTTGGATGCTGAAACAGCATTTGAGATCCCCAAGATCAGAAGGTCACACTTTCATGGCCCACCAATCAATCTGCATTCACGCATGCAGTTTCCTTGCACACACAGGCTTTTTTCCCTGCTGATGAAAACAACTGTCTAGCCACACCCACACGGAAGAGAAACGCCTGATGCTTTTCTTGCTAAGATGTTTTTGGCCCCTCTACCAGATCATGAGAAAGGCAGGGCTGGATGAATCACAAGTAGGAATTAAGATTGCCGGAAGAAATATCAACAACCTCAGATATGTATATGATACCACTCCAATGGCAGAAATTGAAGAGGAACTAAAGAGCTTCTTGGTGCGGGTGAAGGAGGACAGTGCAAAAGTTGGCTTGAAACTCAATGTTAAGAAAACTAATATCATGGCATCCGGTCCTCTTAATTCCTGGCAAATAGATGGGGAAGAAATGGAGGTAGAGACCAATTTTATTTTCCTGGGCTACAAGATCACCACAGATGGGGACTGCAGCCAAGAAATTAAAAGAAGCTTGTTCCTGGGGAGGAAAGCGATGGGAAATCTAGACAGCATCCTAAAAAGCAGAGACATCACCCTGCCAACAAAAGTTCGTC